CTTACCTCCCAGACATTTTGGCTACACTACCATGATCTTTGTGGGCCACTCTGCTTTTTCTCCAGTAACACACAGGAGGAGAGCTTCCAGGCCTTTTCTCCAAGGTGCCAGAAGGGTCAGCCAGCACTGGTACATGTGTCAAAATGTCCAGGCCCATGTCCACGAAACAGAGTCTCTGGGTTTAACACAGTTGGGGCTGACAGCAGTATGTTGCTCTCCTGGCCATATCCTGGCTTCAGTAACAGCTCTTTGGTTTGCAACTACCACTATATAGGAGAAGCAGCAATGTGCGTTAGCATGTCCACAGGGAGTGCTCAAGACTTCTTTTAGGGGCTTCTCATTTAGATGCTGTAGCACTGTCCATTGACCAGCCCCATAGACTTGATGTCTGTTTTCAGGCCAGAGTTCAATAAACCATTGTACCACTCTATCATGCCTGCCCTGGTATGGTCATATGGTACATGAAAATTTTACTTTATTCCTAAATGCTGCACCCATTCTTGTAATGCTTGTCCAATAAAATAGGTGCCTTGATCGCTCTCAATCACCTCCATCCAGCCATAGGCTGCAAAGAGGTGCTCTAGGCCCCTTGTGGTCATTTGCTGACCAGCACAACATGCAGAAAAAGCAACCAAGAGTCCAGTAGCTGCGTCCACACAAGTAATGGCATACTGATATCCTTCTTATATGGACAGAGACCCAATATAGTCTATCTGCCACCTGACAAGGAGCATCGGCCCCTTGACTATTATCCCATGTGTTCTGTGAGACTCGGCGTAAGTCCCTCTTAGAACACACAAGGCACTGCTTCTGGGCTCTGCTGACTTCCTCAAAGTTCACCGGCAAGCCGCACTAACACGCTACAGGCCACATTGCTTTTTGACTCACGTGCAATAAATGCTTATGTAGCCATTGGGCTATATCAGAGACAAGCTTTCCTTCTAGCCAGTGCACCTGGGTCAATGTGTCTGCTTCATCATTCCCTGGGTATGCCAAAGGCAAATGGCCAGTCACATAAAATATGGTAACAGTCTTAGTCTGACCAGACTAAGAACTCTGAAGTTTATAAAATAAAACAGTCATGTTCCCTACTCCCATGGATCTTACAGTCTAATTGTTGAAATCAGATCTATTCACATAGGTGTAAAAAGCATAGCTATGGAGAGGTTTAAAAAATGGTAACAAGACATCTGAAAAGAACAGTTTCTTTAAACATGTACCATATGACCATTAATGTACAATAGGCCATTAATCCCAGAGAAATGAACATTTACATTCACACAGAGACCTACACAACCACACACAAATGTTCTAGTAGCTTTCTTCATCATAGCCAAAAGTTGTAAACAACCTAAATGCCCCTCAACTGGGTGAATGGTTAAACAAACTGGTATATCTGCACCATGTGATACTACAGAGCAATAAAGAAAAAGAATGAACTAGTGACACATACAACTTGCATCGATCTCAGCAGAATTATGCTGAGTGAAAAAGTGAAACTCCAAAGGTTACAGACTTTATGATGCCATTGATATGCCATTCTTTAATTTACAAAATTATAAAGATATAGAACAGATGAGTGGTATCAGGGGTTAGAGATTGGGGATAAGGGTAGGCAGGGAGTCAGGTGGCTGTCGGTAGCATGAGGAATCCCTGTGAGCTAACTATCCTGTATCTTGACTACAGGGGTGGTCACACAAATCCACACATGATAAAGTTACATTGAACTAAATATACATATAAAACATAATTGCATGTTTTTAAAACTGGTAAAATCTGAATAAGACTGATGGATTTTCTCAATATCAACTTCTTGGTTGTGATACTGTACTACAGCTAAGCAAGATGTGACCATTGTGGGAAACTGGATAAAGCATACAGAGGATCCCACTGTATTATATTTTAGAACTGTATTTAAATCTACAACTATCTGAAAATCAAGTTTTTTTTTTTCCTTAATGTTAAGAAATTTCAGAAAAAAAGAGGTTTTGTCCACTTCAGGGAATCAAGGAAGGCTTCAGTGAAGACACATCATGTGAACTAGATTGTAGATCTTTATATAATCTAGTCACTCTATGTTAATAAAGTTTAACCTTTTTAAAGGGTGAAATGAAAAATTGGACAGCAGTCAGAGAAAAACTTGAGAATATGTTTTGGAATGATCCCAGTAAAATTTCTTTTGTAGAATCAGAGGTAAAAAAGAAAACAGCCCATTCTGCAGATCTAGTTATCTCTTCATTTCAAAAATATTTATTTTTTTTAGTAGGTCATAACCTACTATGACCAAGTACCAATTGTATGAAGCAAGGCTGGTATTTAATTACAACAGTTATAATAACTACCATTAATTGAGCACCTACTATGTTCTAAGAACTGTGCTAAGTAACTCTCAAAATTATCTAATTTTAGTCCCTACAGCAATCATTTGAAGTAAATATTATTACCTGCTTTCTAAGTGAGTGTATTGAGACTTATAGAGTGTTTAAATAACTGGTTTAAGTCACACAGTATAAAATCTGGGATTACTTCTTAAAATCAATATGTAAACAATAATAAAGGTATGTTTTCTGCATAATACAAAAATAAAAGAAAGGTTCAAATTTATTTATTTATACATTTATTCAATACATTTATTGAAAGACTATTACATACAGAGCATTTTTCCAGGTGCTGTGGGGAAAGAGATGGTAAAAACAGTAGAGGAAGTGCCTGCCTTCTTGCACAATTACAATATATTTCAGTCATGCCTGCTTAACTTTCTTCAATGAAAGGGTTCTAACAGACATGTGCCAAATTGCTGAAACCCTTCATGTGTTATCTTTCAAAAGAAGTTTCCATTTTAAAAGCATGTATTTTCTTAACGCATTTACTTAAAAGTTATTTAATATACTGTATTATCTATTTCCCTGTACACGTGCAATAAATGCTTATGTAGCCATTGGGCTATATCAGAGACAAGCTTTCCTTCTAGCCAGTGCACCTGGGTCAATGTTTGAACTATGGCTCATATTTACACTGTGACCCAACCTCTGCTTTTCAACTCTTGTATAAAAGAAAATATCAAAAATACCTGAGTATTATGATGCCATTGTGAAAGCAAACTTCTGAAATTTCTCCTTAATTTAAATCTTCAAATTTGTCTGCAGAAAAAATTCCTCGTTTTAAGTTATAAATTTTGTTAGTTTGGAAACTCACCTCGAGAAATCTTTAAAATACTAATCATAATTCCAGTTAGCATTGATTCATTTTTAAATGTCTTGCCAAAGATGAATTGTTTTCTTTGGGTTTCACAAGACCCTAATATAGATTTTCTACTACAGTGTTTATTCAAGAGCCAAAGGTCTTTCTTCCCTCTATCTTCCTGTAGCTTGCGGGTGCCACCTAGAGGTCCAATTTCAGAATACACTGAAATCAAGGAGAATGCATTTTGAATGGAAGTCATTTAATTTAGTTTGATATATTCTTAAATCTTGAAATTCATTACTTGCCTCAATTTTTATTTATTTCCAGAACATTTCAATAAAGAGAACAAAAGTCATTTATGCAAAATATTAACACTGTCAACTGCTGTCAGTTTTCATAATTCTGTGTTAGTCAAATGCCTAAGTTTTGTCTGTTCATATGTCATTGTTACTTGAGTCAATAAGGTCAACTTTTCCTATGAATGTTGGTTTTCAAAGAGGCTATGGTACAACACAGAGCTTTTCTGAGCAGCTGTTAAGAGGAAAGGGCATATAAAAATTCAGTGAAGTATCTGACTTCATAATGCCCTAGCCCACCTGCATGCTGAGTTTCTAATGACTCAGTAGTAATTTGCAAAAAGTAAAATGATGAAGGTGGTTGATACTAGGTCTTTACTCTTCCGTTTTACATTTAAGCAATTAGCAATTTAGTGCCATACTGGAGGTAGCAGGGTGGCAACTTCCAAGAGAAATTCCCCGTGATAGACTCCTGCCCACCGTGCAAGCACCCACTGAAGGCGCAGCCAGCGGCTGCAGGGGTAGATCTGCAATCATCTCAAAACGGAGGTCTGACCTCTAGCTTCGTTTGCATGACTACAACTACACAATAATACCTAGGCCTTAATCCCCTTTAAGGTTTTGTGCTGTGGAAAAGCTTTAAATGCACATACACAAGCACTTGGTGATAATCCCATTTCATTCAATACTTTGGACTGTCTTTTTATTCCCTGCTATTCCAACACACAAAAATCTTAACATAAGGTGTGCTGGTTATTCTTAAATGAATTTTCCTTCTATCTCAGATTTTGGAAGAATTTGCAATAAATTGATTAGTGATATTTTCCCCATCTCCTCCTTCTTCATGGATTATCATATAATGTCAAGCAAATGGATGATTTAATTTTTATTATTTACCATTGTTATCCTCTGCAATGCATTGTCAAATGAATATATTTGTTTTAACTTAGAACAAGTATGTTATTTAGAGCTTGTATAATTATTGTAGGCCACAAAAATATCTTACCCATATTTATCTCTGTAGTTGATTGTTAGAAATGAAAATAAAGCTATCTCTTGGTTTCTCTGTATTTCCTTAACTTAGGTTCCCTTCTTTCTCCATCATGAAATGTTTGGTATTTTAGTTTACTTATGATCATTTTCCTTATTGCATTAAAGAAAAAAAAAACTAACACATACATAAAAATGTTGTACTTTCCTTTTATATTTCCTTTCACTCTTTGTCCTGAGCCTTGAGGGTGGAATTTACTAAGATGAGAGAAGCTGGGGAAATGAAGGAAGGGATCACTTGAAATTGCATAGAGCATGAGAAATTCATGTCACCAAGTTGGGACAAAGTCCACGTGGCAGAAGCAGGATTCTGGTGTGGAGCAGCGCTAGGACTGAAACCCATGCTTCCCGCAGACAGGTTTTGTTACATCGTCTGATCCAAGCGACCTGCGAAGCTGCCTCTGCGATTCTGGGTCTCTAAGGAATGGCCTATGCACACAAAAGTGTTCCATTCTACTAGGTTTTTCTCTCTTAGATACCAGTTTTGGAAGAAATCCAGTCCGAGAGAGAGTCACTCTGGTATAAACACCGGGCTTATTGGGTTGTGCACATTCATCTCCCCAGCTCACTATGCCAGGAAGGTACCAGATATCTCTAGCATCTGGACTAAACAGGGGTCCTCCAGAGTCACCCTAAAGAAGAGGGAGAGCTTAGTAAGCAACAGTTCAGTTCATTACAGAGGAGTCTGCTCTTTTCCTAACTTGAGTTTAATACAAGGGGCAATTTTTTTAAAGCCTTCAGTGTGCACAAGTGCGGAAGTGATTCCAAGTCATTCACTCAAAGAGGAGGAGCTCCACCACCTGGAGAAGGGGCTTAGATGCAGAGTTCAGTGCCCTAGGTTAAAGGCTCCATCTCTGTTATCTGGTACATCTGACAAAAGAACTCCTCATACTCTTCATCAGTGTGACATAGTTTCAAAAAGAAGGGGGAAGAATCTATTACTGATAAAGAGCACAGACATTAGACTCAGACACTTGGGTCAAAGTCTGGCCTTTCCAAGCTGGCTAAGACCTTTAGTTTGCTCATCTGTAATGCTCCTGATAATACCTACCTCTGATGGCAATTTTGGAGATTACATAAAACAGTGAATGTGAAGTGGTTAGCACAGAACTTGAAAAAAACTGAACTTAGTAAATGCATATATAAAACTATAAATCCAATTGCTTATGCCTTGTGAACTCCAGAGCACTCTATCTTTATATAGGTCATAAAAAACAATGTACAGGCTGATCTTTCCTCAAAATCCTGGGGTCTCCAGTTATTGACCACCCATAAGTGATCAGCATTCTGTGAAGTTCTTTATTAATTAACACATTATCTCATTAATTTGTGCAATACTTGCAACAAAGCATGGAGTTCGATTTCATTTTCTCCATTTTAGCAATAAAGAAATGAAAGCTCATGGAAATTAATTTGCCTGATGTCACATGTGATTCAGTAGCAGAGTTGAATTTGAATCCAGAGAGATCTAACTCAGAAGCCCATGCGCTTTCTCTCCTACACTACACTTCTTTATGAATTTCCTTTTGTCCATTTAAAAATATTAACTGATAAAACTTAATATGAAATAATGTGTTAGTAACTTTTAAATCAATTAACTAATACATTTTTTTATACCCTCACATATGGTAGGAGACATAAAAAAAGTGTAAACACATGGGTTTTGCCATCAAGGAGCATACAATCTGCTTATAGAAATAAGATGTGTAATAGGTAGATATATGAAAATAAATCATTTTGGTAGTTTAATCCTAAGATTGTATATAGACAGAGCCAATAAGGATGAAGAAATAGCAGATGCCAGAGACAATAAAACTTAAATACATTTAAGAGACAGGAATGAATGAGCCTGAGAATAAATAATTAAAGAAAAAAGGTAATAGTGTATCTAACAGCATTACAACCTGAAAAATATGATGATGTCCAGCAGGTACCAAATAGAGAAAGATATAGCCTATTCTGCTAACACTAGTTAGCTCACTAGTTAGCATTTGGTGAATAGGTGAGTTATGTCAGTATATGATGGAAATTTCGATAGTTTATATGTATTTTGTCTTAGGCAGTGGAGCCAGAATAATGCAGAAGAATTATAGTCCTCAGAAGAAAAGAGCTCTCAACTCACCTATTGCAGAGGCAGAAGCCTTTGGTGACCTCTTTTAACAAAATGTCAAAAGAGAGCCTATACCCAAGACTGCCACTCCCCAACCCCCAACACATACACAGAGAGAGGAAGACAGAACTCAGCCTTGCTTATTTTACGGGTCCTGGCAGCTGCGCTTCCTCCTCTGCTCAGGGCTATACCCCAAGGCTAGTGCCTTAGTCCCAGCAGTTCCATCTGTTGTTTCTGTACATTTTCAACACCCCCATGTCAGCCACCAGCCACTCTGGGCAGTGGGCCTGCCTATGAATCCAAGTTAGTTTCCAAGATACAATTATTTTTTATTTGTGGTAATTCTCTAGTTACAATGCTGTAAAGAAGTTGAGGGGTCTGTTGATCTGTCTCTAACCTTATTTTCCCACAAATCCTGTAATTTTTAGTGACTAGTTTAGTAAGAAACAGAACAGAAAGTTTATTCATGTATGCACACATCATAACAGAAATGTTTAAAAGTAGAAGAAGCCAAACCAGCAAATAATTTTAGTGATCAAGATATGAAGTAATGCATAAATAGGTTAGGTTGTTAATAGAAAGTGGAGACAGAGATAAATCTGAAAGATATAGTAAAGGCAGAAAATATTCTAGGACTTGATTGATTACATGTTAAGGAAATATAAAAGTAAAAGAAGACTTCACAAATAATGAAACCCAATAATATAAATGAAAATCTGAAAATAGAAAAACAATATTTCATGATGCCAGTTGCAGCAAATTGACAGAACCCAAGAATGAACTAACAGTTACCAAAGGGAAAGGGACTGGGGAGGATGGGTGGGAGGGAGGGATAAGGGCAGGAAAAAGAAAGGGGGCCTTACGATTAGCATGTATAATGTGGAGGGGGGTATAGGGAGGGATGTGCAACACAAAGAAGACAAGTAGTGATTCTACAGCATCTTACTATGCTGATGGACAGTGCCTGTTGAATTTCAGATGGCACATGTACAAATTTTAGTCTTATGTTAACAACTTGTAGCATGTTAGTGGAAATGGTTTAAGAGTAAGTGGAAATGTGACTGCATTTGGGCAAAAGGTTAATTCTGGACATGTATGTGAGGAAGTCATTAAAGTGACAGGTGAAGTCAAAGAAAGGATAGTTTCTTTGGGTGAATATATAGATAGACAGCAGGGAAAAAATTTTGTCTGACACGAGTGTTGTTTGATAGCCAGGCTTACAGACAGGGAGAGAGAAAAAGGAACCAAAGAAACGAAGCAGAAATGAGTGGTTAGAGAAGGAGGACTGGGGACAATCAGCATATTTCAGGACCACAGAACCCAGCAAAGGAGATCACATTTTAAGAAAAAAGAGGTAGCCAAATGCCACCAAGAGGGTAAAGAGTAGAAGACTCAAGTAAAGGTTTTTTGAATACAACGTTATTGATGATTTTGAGATGTGAAAATACATGGAACCAATCAAGTGGCAAAAATTGTGAGCTCTAGACATATAAAAGGGGGAACAAAAGGGTTCCCAGTGCCTCCAGAGATACGAAAGGAGGGTATTATAAGCGCAGGCCTAATGTTGGTTCCTCCTCATTTCCTCAGATTTGTAAGAGACTTCCGCCTGTAATACCATCAGGGAAATGGCACTGTAGAGGAGGGGACATATTGTCAGATGAAATTGTATGACATCTGGGATTTGTTTCAAGACTGATCTGGAATTTAGTGTGGGGAGCGGAGAGTTCATGGGATTGTGTTAAGATATATGCTAATAAAATGAGATTGGCCAGGAGTTAACAATTATTAAAGCGGATGATGAACACATGGGAGTTGATTATACACTTCTGTCTACTTCTGCATACATTTGAAATATTTTATAATAAAAATTTTTAAATAAACATCTAAAAAGGAATATATCTATTCCTTGGAAACTTATAGGAAGGAGGTTACCATAAGTAGATGTGGAAATATTTTAATGAAAATATAAATGATGATTACAAATATGAAAGTACAAGACATTTTCAATAATAGTTTTAATAAAGTTGGAGGCCAGTAGAATGAAAGAGATTAAGATGAGAAAAGATCTAAAACAATATCTAAACAATGATTCTATGATTGTCAAGAAAACAAAATACAATTGATTCTTATTACTCTCAGTAGTTATCTTCTATTATGTTGCTGTAAAAATGGAATCAGTGAATTCTGAGTCATTGCTCCTGGGGGAAAGATGGGGTTAGATTTCCATGAGTATTTGGACAGGTTTTCATTAAATGATCAATATATAATCACATTTTATATGTGTTTTTCTCTAAAGATACCTTATTTAATACATAGCATTGATTCATTAACATTAAACTCACATGAACATCACTATTACTCTTGCCTCAATGAAGATTACCTAAGACACGTGTTCCCTCCATAAAGCACACATCACAGCCTTCTTGTGCTTCACTGGAGCCTTACACTTGGGAACATTTTAAATGGCTAAATGATGAACAAAAGCACAAAACTATGAAAAATGTGGCATTACATAGACCACAAAAAGTACACAATTTTATGGTATAAAAGCTGAAATAAGAAAGCAGAGCATCTCTTTGTCTGACCCTGGGTGGAGTGTGCACATTGGGTAACTACAGTTTTTTGTCACTCTGCACATGTTTGCGTATGATCACAACAGTGCCTTGATGATTGATTTTGGGTTTAGAAGCAAATTTTAGCAAGTAAGTGAATTCACAAGTATGGAATCTGCAAATAATGAGGATTGGTGTGCACTTTTAAGTGATCTTTATTAAACTGGTTTTATTTTGGTAGGTTTATTTGCAGAGCCAACTTGAATTTTCTGTAGAACTTCATAGTGCAATCAGTCTATATTGTTCCATGTCTTCCTCCAGGCCTTAGAGCAGAAAAAAGAAATAATGAAATAAGTCTAATCTTGAGCGTTTGAAAGAAGTGTGGAGAAAGACCAGTTGGGTGAAAGTTTAATGCAGCAAACTGAACAATGCTGAAGTGACTGAGTCAGAGGTAAAAGTTGGGAAAAGACTATGGTAATATCAGCCAAGGATTAATGGAAGTGGAGCTAGTGAAGGCAAAAAACAGGTGCGGTGTATATATGAGAGAGAAAACACATGAAAAATACAAAAAAGAAGAATATCAGAAATACCACTCTAAGGATCCAGACTGGAAAGCACACAGAATAAAATGGAATTTCAAAGACCAATATGGGGCCTAGGGAGGAAACTAAACATAAAGCTTCTCAAATTACAAAATAAAAAATGTACTAGTACTTAGGGGTGTCCACAAGGAATCACTTATGGCCCCCTCAAAGGTCTTATCAGCATGTAGATGAAGACATAGAGGTCATAGTTACCACATCTGGCAAAGACACGGAGTTCATGTGCCAGCCAACATACTTACTGAAAAGCAAAATCAGGGTTCAAAAAGATATTCATGCTCTGGACCAAGATGGAATAGACTGACTTATTCCTTTTACCCAAACTAAATACAGCTTTAAAAAAAAAACTTGGACATTAAAAATAAAACATATGTGAAGAGATTCTGAAAGGTAAGAGAAAAGAAGGCAGGAGAAATAAGACCCTCAGGACTCAAGAAATGACACAACAGTGAGCTCTTTGGATATTCCTTTCTACATCCCCTATTCTGCACAGAGAATAGAAGAAAACAGCAACCTGGCAACCAGCCAATGGGTGCAGTCGAAGAAAGGCCCCAAGTCAAGCCTTCTCTCTTTAGTCAAAGAACTAGAAAGAAGGCAACTTAGGAAAACAGAAAACTTTTAGACAATACCCTCTCTAGTCCAGCCAAACACAGAACAAATTATGGCCCCATCCAAACCAGCATTAACAAAGGCCAAGTCGGGACACTTTCAGCCTTACAGGCTATAATGACACCCAACCCCCCACCAGACAGGTGTTAGAGAAGGCTGAGTGAGCAGCCAGATGTTCATCCCTGCCAGGTGTTACTGAAGCCCTCTTCTCCCTTCAATGTGTTGACTAGCTGGGGAGCATAAACTACCACCCAATGGTCATGAGACAGAACACTCTTTACCCCTAGGGGGATGTTGGAGGAGATTACTGGAAAGTCAGAACTTTTCCCACTGCCAAGCAGTAAAGAGGCTACTACCTCATGATGTCTGTGGAGCCCACAAGGGGAGAAATAACAAAGAACTCGCAGCCAGAGTGCTATCAGAGGATGCCTAGTGCAGAGACTGAAATTCTGCCTCCATCCAGCAATAACCAGGCACTACTCCCCAACCTGGTTGTCAAAGGGGGATGAGTGTGGAATGAGGTGGCACTTCCCTGTTCCCTCCACTTTCATGTCAGAGAAAGTCTGCTAACCCAGGAGACTTAATTAAGATCCAGTCTTGTAACGTAATATTCAAAATGTCCAGAATACATCTGAAAACCACTCGTCATACTAGAACCGGGAAGATCTTGACTTGAATGAGAAATGGCAATCAAGAGACACTGACACTTGCTGACACAGATGTTGGAACTATGTGACAAAGATAGTAAAGACACTACTACAAAACTGAGAAATAATTGAGAACTAATGAAAAGTTACCACTTGAAACAAATGGAAAAAAAAGTTTCTGCAAAGAAATAGCAGATCTGAAGGATCAAATGGGAATCTTATAACTGAAAAACATAATAAAAAACTCACTGGGTGGGTTGAACAGAAGAATAGAATAGAATCAGGGAATTTGAAGATAAGATGTTAAACTTACCCAATCTGAACAAGAAACAAAAAAAGTAGTGGGGGAAGCTCTGAGCAGAAGCTCAGAGACTTCTGAGACTGTAACTAAAGAGCTAACATTCCTGTCCTTAAAGTCTCAGAAGGAGAGAAAAAAAGAAAGAAGAGGGGCTGAAAAAATATATTGGAAGTAATAATGGCTGGAAATTTTCCAAATTTGTCCAGGAACATTAACTTGCAGGTTCAAAAAACTGAGTAAACTTTACACAGGATAACTCCCCAAAATCCATGCCAAGACACATAATCAAACTTTTGAAAAGTAAAGACAAAGTAAAATCTTGAACACAGCAAGAGGGAGATGACACCTCTTCTATAGGGGAAAATAATTCTAATTGACAGCAGCTTTCTCATTAGAAATCATGGGGGACATGATTTAAATGATAAAGAAAAAGCTGTCAATCCCAAGTTCTATGTCTGGCAAAATTGTGCTTCAGGAATGAGTAGGAAATAAACAATTTTGCAAACAAAGAAAATAGTATGCTTTAGTATGGACCTGTCATGAGCAGGTCCATACTAAAGCAATGGCTAAAGGAAGCTTCTGGAACCTAAAAGAAATGATTAAAAAAAAAGAAAGAATCTTAGAGAACCAGAAAGGAAGAAAGAACAAAACTATGGGTTGTCTCTTCTTAAATTTTCTAAGTTAAGCTTAGCACTTAAAGGAAACCCTTATCTAATGTTTAAATAAAATTTGCATTTATTAATAGTTAACATTATAAATGGAGAAGGGTAGAAACTTAAGGGGAGGTAAATTTTCTATTCTACAAGCCACTCAAACTAGTAAAATCTCAACACCAGTAGGCTGTGATCAGTTACATTACATAACTGCAAACATTTTTCTACAAAGACATAGCCTAGTTAAAAATACTAATAGGTAATCAAAATGGAATTCTAAAAAAAAGGCTATTATAAAATCCTCAAAGTTACAAAATCATAGAGATGAACAGATTAGTGGTTGCCAGCTGCTAGTGATGAGAGAGCAATGGAGGAGAGTGGGCGAGTCACTGTAAAGGGCGGTAAGAGAAAATCTCCGTGGTGATGGAAGAGCTCTCAAGTGCAAGGTGGTTACACAAATCCGCACCTATGACAAAGTGTCATAGATCTAGAAGCGCACATTGTACCAATGTCAATTTCCTAGCTTTTTTTTCCCTCCCCATCCTACCCTCCATTTCCTAGCTTTTATATTGTACCATAGTTACGTGAGATATAACCATTGGGTAAAACTAAGTCGAAGGTACATGAAACCGCTCTGTATTATCTGTGCAACTTTCTGTAAATCTATGATTTCAAAGTAAAGGGTGAGCATAAATTTTGCAGCACATTAATATATCAAAACACTGACCTGGCATGCATCTCTTTTTCCTTTCCAGGAGCCAGCACAAAACATTCTAAGGGTTATGGTATCCTTGTAAACTCATTACACTTTTTAGTCTCGATGAGATCCACTTGTACTTGCCGAAGATGATTTTGACTATTACCTTAAGGGAAAAAATAGTCTTTACATTTGTAGATATACATGTATTCTCTAAACCTGAAGAAAGCCTTTTATAGGTATTGGATAAGATGGTTATACAGAGCATGCATTTTTTTTCAGGTACAGTAAATTTGGGAAGAGAAGTCACTAAGTACTTCAGATGAAAAATTAGGTGTCTAGGAAAGAACTTCAAGCTGTTTAAGTAATTTCCATTCCATTGTGAAGCTTAGGAGGTAACTTCAGTAGGGAAAATCTTTAACGCTTATGATCCTTTGATCTTTACTCTTGGCCATATTAATGATCCCTAATCTTCTCCATGGTTAATTCCAGAAAGTAAAAAGTTCTGGCGTATTTACTCTTTCAGACTTCTTACCAAGTACCATTATTATGGTTGCAGTGATGCCCTTGATAACAAGGAATTTATGTGTCTCCTTAGTGACTTAGTTCACAAATAGGGCCTGACATGGCCCAGGTCCATGACCAACCCACCGAAGTATTTTTTCCTAATGATATTCCATTCCTTAAGTGTCTTAGAATACTGAGTTAGATTAGCTTAGTAAGATTTTAGTTTCTTTTCAGATTCTCACCATCATTTTGCAGTCCTCCAAATCCTGTCACAACATCTCACCACTTGGGTTGAACTCATGGGATGCACCCTGAAGACAAATTCTATGCACTGCATTTGTTTAGGAAAGGGGGCTAGAAAGCTCTGCAACTGAAATATCACAGTCAGGGGATGGCTATTTGTATTTTTCAAGGACTATTATCCTCTGGAGGCCTTGTTGTATTTTTGGAGGCTTTATTGTTACCCCAAGGGAAACAGTCCATCTGGCTGGGTCCTTATACTTGAGGAAAATGTATGAAGAATGAATTACACTTTACCATGCTACCCACATAACAATTTATATTAAACAATTTAGCCTGCAGATCTCAGAACAAGTTTTCATTTTTAAATTATTGTTTCTGTGTATAGAAACAAACCTTCCAATCTGAGAATTGGCCCCAGGGGTCAGATGATGTGGAATTACTACAGCAACATATTTCTTAGGATATACAGGCTGAGTCATGCACTCCATATCCTAGGACCTTTTGATGTGTCTGGACACCAGGGACTCCCAGGTATGGAAAGTGTCCTGCACAGAATGAGGGAGCTAAATGTCTTCTATGTGCAATGTGTTCCCTACCCACAAACATACACATTTCTCTGAAAATAGAAAGGCTACACAATAATTCAACAAGCATCTCTGTCCTGTATACTGTAGGCATTTTGTACTGAGTTGAAAGGTCTCCATCTTGGAATATAACTTGTCAACCTATCCAGTTGTACATAAAATTTACTACCACATTTCTTCATATTTAATTCTTTCTTACCATCTGGAATTTCCCCTTCAGGGTCAGACCTACAGTTCACCTAGCCTCCATCACTGATAGCTATGCAACAGAGAGATATGGTTCTTCTCTGTGACATCAGGCTTAAAGTCTAAGGCTGACTTTAAAATTCTTTCAAAATCTCTGCTTCCTTTGACAGATTGTTGTGAATTTATCAATGAATTATTAGTTACATGGATTTGAAAAAATTTCCATTTCCATACTATAGAACCTCTTACTAAGGTCTATGAGTCTTCCAATCTTTGTGATGTATGCTATCTTTAATTTACATTAACTCCAGGTCCCTCAAACTTCATGAGATATTTCTTTCCTGCAAAGCCTCAATGCAGTCTGCTTACCCCCAGTTGTTCACAAGGTCCGACTTATGTTCTATAACAGTGAGCGGCACTCGCAAGCCATTTCCTATCAATTAAAGTTGCTCCACAGCGATGGGTCCCATCCCATTGCCAGCTAGGTTGCCATAGCCATGTACCTTCTTCTAAGTCTGTCCCACCAACAATCCTGACACTCTATCTTGTAGTTTTATTCCTCCGTGTTCCACAGCCTAACAAAGAGAGACGATGCATTAGGTAGCAGTTGTTCTTAAGTATCAAATTGGGTTACTATGCCCTAAATTTCCTGTACTCTGTTCTCTAATAATGTCATATATTCTCTTGTGCTTACTTTTCTTAAACTATAGTGTTTCATTTATTGAACTCCCATTCATCTTGTGAGATTTCAATCAATCATTACCTCCTCTAAGATGCCTTCTCTAACAATTCCCCTGCTCAAAAACTGGATTACAATCATTTGACAAGCATCTCTGTCCTGTATAGTGTAAGCATTTTGTACCTTCTTGATGTTCCCATAAAAATAATAAACAGTAACAATACTCAATATATGTATTATATATGTGTATTACATATGTATTATATGTAAGTGTGTGTGCATTTATATATATGTATATGTGTATAATATATTTATGTATTTCTCAACTTTGTTTATAACATGGTTTCTCAGCCCTGGCATGAATGACATTTGAAGATGGATAATTCCTTGTTGTGGGGCCTGTCCTGCACATCAGAGGACCTTTAGAAGGATCCCTGGCCTACACATACGAGCTGCCAGTAGCATCTCCTACACAGTCATAATATGCAAAATGTCACAGTGGGACACTATCCTTTAAGGGTTAAAATTGCCCTTGTTTGATAACTGTTATTTAAAAATGTTGTGTTGATGCATTATTCTCATTCATCTAGTCCCATTAAAGCTGCTTTGGGCAGGGATATATCTTGTCCATTTTCTATACCTGTTTCTTAACAGAGCACTAGTACAGAGCAGGTTCTAAATAAATATTGTTGCCAGCATATATGCCATTTAGGTAATGGTATTATCCTTTAGTCTCATGTTTACTTAAGTCTGTAAATTAATCAACTTCTGAGCTGGTGAGTGACACATTTCCTTCCATCTTTTAACATATGTATATTATATAGTAATTTTGTAATTATCAAATGTATTCTGTAAATCATGGTAGAGTACCATGCTATAGGGGAAGGAAAACACTATACTTAGAGTCAGTACTTATAAAATATAGGTAAAGATATTATGTGAGCCTCAATATTTTCATCAATATATAACCAGCCTTATAATTCCCTGAGATTTCCTTATAGAGGGATGAATGACATCAAGAAGATTTTTTTTTAGTGCAGAGTAACAGTAAGTTTGTGTCTGTAGCTCAAAAACACCTTTTACACAATATTTAGAAAAGTTTTATGAAAGTATATTGTAGATATCTGCAATCAGAACATTGAGAAAAGAGTTTTTTTGCCTTCTCTTTAATGACTGCACAATTCAGTTCTACTACACAACTGCCCCAGGCACCCATACATTCACTCCAAAGTTCCCCCAACTTCTTTAATTCTTCAGTAATAAAATATGCCTTAGAGATAAGATAAAGCACCATGAGGTGTGCACAGGTCAACAAACTTTATGTAATACCATGCAAAGTAAGCTTAAGTGACTTAGTGTTAACTTTTTGCATTAAGGTAATGCAATTTTAATAAATACATTAAACTTACAATTGTTCAGAAACTTGTCTGTTTCTGTCTTGTTGATTTCTGAAATACACAGCAATGGTGCATAGAACAGGATCAGCACATCCGAACTGCATAACGCCTCTGAGTACTTCAAATACTAAAGGTTGCTTAATGCCATTATGAGATAGTATCAATAGGTTATAAAGAAACAGTACAGATAGTTTATCATTGACATAGTTTGTTCATTGCCTTGAGGAGAAGGTGAATCTGAAGAGTGTTTCTCAAACTGTAGAGGGATCATCTTTATGCTGTAAATTCCTGTTCCTCCTCCCAGGAATCAGTGGTTTTGTGTCGAAGCCCAGGAGTCTCAGTTTTATGCCAGGAAATAAGATGCAGGTAGTCCACAGTCTGTTTGGGGGAAATACTATTCTGTGCCCCCAAGATTCAGTACCTGTAGCACGTTACCAGGTGAGCTGATCTGCTGGTACCTAACCACACACTGAGAAGTAAGGTTCTGCAGAGGAGACCAGGCTCTTCTACATCCTTAGACCTGTTCTTTTTAAAATTACTAGATTGAATAATTTGAAACTTCTATTTGATCAAATATTAGCAATTACATATGCCTCAACCAAAGAACAACTTATTTATTTGTAGTCAATATTTTCTTTTGCTCAATAGATGCAAACAGGTCACGAAATGTCAAAACATATTTCCAGTTGCCAGAATTATATGGCATATTGAAAAGTAGCTGTTGAAAAGTATTGTTGGAATGTTAACAGAAAAGTAAGAAAAATAAGGATAAACATGAATTTGCTGAAATTTTCTAACAGGTTTGTGAATCTATAACCTACAATGATATTGATCAGAATAGAGTCATTTTCTGTCATCCAAATCACAAAGGGGACAGGGATGCAGCTCTGGAGGCCACTGGAAACAACTGCATACACAATTCTATGTTGTCCTGGGCTTCGTGCCAAAATGATGATTTTCCAAGCCTGGTCACCTCCACCTTTCTCTGTCTGTGTCTGTCGCAGGGTGGTGTGGTTTGGTTACCTGAGTGTGCGAGCTCCATGCTCATGTGCTACCAGCACTCTGTTCTTCTTTTACACTCACTAACAGAAGGCACACCAAAAATAAAAGACAGCAACACATAACAAAACAATTACTGTTTATTCAGAGGTGCTGTGCGAGCAGTGGAAGGTGTATGCCATAGCCATGTACCTTCTTCTAAGTCTGTCCCACCAACAATCCTGACACTCTATCTTGTAGTTTTATTCCTCCGTGTTCCACAGCCTAACAAAGAGAGACGATGCATTAGGTAGCAGTTGTTCTTAAGTATCAAATTGGGTTACTATGCCCTAAATTTCCTGTACTCTGTTCTCTAATAATGTCATATATTCTCTTGTGCTTACTTTTCTTAAACTATAGTGTTTCATTTATTGAACTCCCATTCATCTTGTGAGATTTCAATCAATCATTACCTCCTCTAAGATGCCTTCTCTAACAATTCCCCTGCTCAAAAACTGGATTACAATCATTTGACAAGCATCTCTGTCCTGTATAGTGTAAGCATTTTGTACCTTCTTGATGTTCCCATAAAAATAATAAACAGTAACAATACTCAATATACGTATTATATATGTGTATTACATATGTATTATATGTAAGTGTGTGTGCATTTATATATATGTATATGTGTATAATATATTTATGTATTTCTCAACTTTGTTTATAACATGGTTTCTCAGCCCTGGCATGAATGACATTTGAAGATGGATAATTCCTTGTTGTGGGGCCTGTCCTGCACATCAGAGGACCTTTAGAAGGATCCCTGGCCTACACATACGAGCTGCCAGTAGCATCTCCTACACAGTCATAATATGCAAAATGTCACAGTGGGACACTATCCTTTAAGGGTTAAAATTGCCCTTGTTTGATAACTGTTATTTAAAAATGTTGTGTTGATGCATTATTCTCATTCATCTAGTCCCATTAAAGCTGCTTTGGGCAGGGATATATCTTGTCCATTTTCTATACCTGTTTCTTAACAGAGCACTAGTACAGAGCAGGTTCTAAATAAATATTGTTGCCAGCATATATGCCATTTAGGTAATGGTATTATCCTTTAGTCTCATGTTTACTTAAGTCTGTAAATTAATCAACTTCTGAGCTGGTGAGTGACACATTTCCTTCCATCTTTTAACATATGTATATTATATAGTAATTTTGTAATTATCAAATGTATTCTGTAAATCATGGTAGAGTACCATGCTATAGGGGAAGGAAAACACTATACTTAGAGTCAGTACTTATAAAATATAGGTAAAGATATTATGTGAGCCTCAATATTTTCATCAATATATAACCAGCCTTATAATTCCCTGAGATTTCCTTATAGAGGGATGAATGACATCAAGAAGATTTTTTTTTAGTGCAGAGTAACAGTAAGTTTGTGTCTGTAGCTCAAAAACACCTTTTACACAATATTTAGAAAAGTTTTATGAAAGTATATTGTAGATATCTGCAATCAGAACATTGAGAAAAGAGTTTTTTTGCCTTCTCTTTAATGACTGCACAATTCAGTTCTACTACACAACTGCCCCAGGCACCCATACATTCACTCCAAAGTTCCCCCAACTTCTTTAATTCTTCAGTAATAAAATATGCCTTAGAGATAAGATAAAGCACCATGAGGTGTGCACAGGTCAACAAACTTTATGTAATACCATGCAAAGTAAGCTTAAGTGACTTAGTGTTAACTTTTTGCATTAAGGTAATGCAATTTTAATAAATACATTAAACTTACAATTGTTCAGAAACTTGTCTGTTTCTGTCTTGTTGATTTCTGAAATACACAGCAATGGTGCATAGAACAGGATCAGCACATCCGAACTGCATAACGCCTCTGAGTACTTCAAATACTAAAGGTTGCTTAATGCCATTATGAGATAGTATCAATAGGTTATAAAGAAACAGTACAGATAGTTTATCATTGACATAGTTTGTTCATTGCCTTGAGGAGAAGGTGAATCTGAAGAGTGTTTCTCAAACTGTAGAGGGATCATCTTTATGCTGTAAATTCCTGTTCCTCCTCCCAGGAATCAGTGGTTTTGTGTCGAAGCCCAGGAGTCTCAGTTTTATGCCAGGAAATAAGATGCAGGTAGTCCACAGTCTGTTTGGGGGAAATACTATTCTGTGCCCCCAAGATTCAGTACCTGTAGCACGTTACCAGGTGAGCTGATCTGCTGGTACCTAACCACACACTGAGAAGTAAGGTTCTGCAGAGGAGACCAGGCTCTTCTACATCCTTAGACCTGTTCTTTTTAAAATTACTAGATTGAATAATTTGAAACTTCTATTTGATCAAATATTAGCAATTACATATGCCTCAACCAAAGAACAACTTATTTATTTGTAGTCAATATTTTCTTTTGCTCAATAGATGCAAACAGGTCACGAAATGTCAAAACATATTTCCAGTTGCCAGAATTATATGGCATATTGAAAAGTAGCTGTTGAAAAGTATTGTTGGAATGTTAACAGAAAAGTAAGAAAAATAAGGATAAACATGAATTTGCTGAAATTTTCTAACAGGTTTGTGAATCTATAACCTACAATGATATTGATCAGAATAGAGTCATTTTCTGTCATCCAAATCACAAAGGGGACAGGGATGCAGCTCTGGAGGCCACTGGAAACAACTGCATACACAATTCTATGTTGTCCTGGGCTTCGTGCCAAAATGATGATTTTCCAAGCCTGGTCACCTCCACCTTTCTCTGTCTGTGTCTGTCGCAGGGTGGTGTGGTTTGGTTACCTGAGTGTGCGAGCTCCATGCTCATGTGCTACCAGCACTCTGTTCTTCTTTTACACTCACTAACAGAAGGCACACCAAAAATAAAAGACAGCAACACATAACAAAACAATTACTGTTTATTCAGAGGTGCTGTGCGAGCAGTGGAAGGTGTGTGTTCTCTGTTACTCAGCTGAAATCCAAACAGTAGGAACCAGGAACAGGTTACCAGGAAAATCTTGACAGGTTTTCATTATATGTGTATGAGTAAAATTTGTAAGTCTTATCACACTTGGCTGGGAAAAGGCAAAGGAGAGGTAGTAAGGAACATTTTCCCTCCCCAAGGCATGAGACCTCACATTACTTGGAACTCCTTGTGAAGTGTGCCCCGAGAAAATAACATAGGTAAGACTCATTCAGTACTCAGCAAACATTAATTAAGTATCTAATATGTGCCAGGATCCTGCTAAGTTGTGGAAATACAAAAGTGAATAAAACATAGTCCTAGGCATCCATGGAGAGGAATTAGGATGCTTACAACATAATGGGACTCAATATATTCATTGACAAAACTGTTTAATTTGAATGATTGTAGCTATTTTTTTATATAAAAAAAACATGCTCAGGAAAAATCATCAAATTGAAGGTGCTTCACATTTAAAGACCTGTATGAGGGTAAATTCTCTCTTTACTTTAAATATTTTTCTTTAAGCTGCCAGGAATGATACACCTTGCTTTGAAAGTTGAGATTATTTGTGTCTGCTAATGGAAAGAGATAACCAATTTACAGAATGCTGTTTTTCTTTATGGGAAAGCAATCCCTGCAAATTCCCAGTGAAAGTAGAATCAAGTGATTAGCTTCTTTGTCTACAGGGTCTTGAACATCAAAGCATTATGTACTCACTGAAGGAGATATTCAACAAATACGTCATACATATTAAACCAACTACTAAAACCTGAGGCAGAG